CCATGGGCTATAGTACAGGGATTTTTTCAAAATTTGCAAATTAAAAAAATGACCATAACTTGAAAAATTGAAGTCGGAATCGGCTCAAACTTTTTACACAGTATAAGTACATCAATATGTATCAAAAAATGTAATAAAAATCGGGGGTGATTTCGGAGCCATTTTTTTGAAAAAAAACCATGGGCTATAATAGCCCATGGTTTTTTTCAGAAAATGGCCAATTTTTAAAAATGACCGTAACTTAAAAAATTTAAGTCGGAATCAGCTTAAACTTTCTACATAGCATAAGTACATCAATATGTATCAGAAAATGTAATAAAAATTGGGGGTGATTTTGGAGCAATTTTTTGGAAAAAACCATGGGCTATATATAGTACAGGGATTTTTCAGAAAATGGCTAATTTTTTAAAATGGCCGTAACTTAAAAATTTAAGTCAGAATCAGCTCAAACTTTCTACACAGCATAAGTACATCAATATGTATCAGAAAATGTAATAAAAATTGGGGGTGATTTCGGAGCCATTTTTTGGAAAAAACCATGGGCTATAGTACAGGGATTTTTCAGAAAATGGCTAATTTTTTAAAATGGCCGTAACTTGAAAAATTAAAGTCAGAATCAGCTCAAACTTTCTACACAGCATAAGTACATCAATATGCATCAGAAAACGTAATAAAAATTGGGAGTGATTTCGGAGCAATTTTTTGGAAAAAACCATGGGCTATAGTACAGGGATTTTTTCAAACATTGGCACATTTTTTAATACGACTATAACTCAAAAAATTGAAGTCGGAATCGGCTTAAACTTTCTACACAGTATAAGGACATCAATATGCATCAGAAAATGTAATAAAAATTGGGGGTGATTTCGGAGCCATTTTTCAGAAAAAACCATGGGCATACATACTCAGAAATCAAACTTCTACATGATGTAACTATAGTATTCTTTTCTCTCTCTCTCTCTCTTACCAAAAGCAGGTGTTGATGTCTTTTGCCTCTCATCGCTATTATTAGAAGGCAGTGGTTTCACTAGTAGGAGACTCACTGCTGATCTCAGTGTTACGTGTTTCTCCCATAACTGGATCAACGATACTGTTGACAACACATCACAACTTAATACTAACAGATCAGACTATAGAGAGAGAGAGAGAGAAAGAAAGAAAGAGAGAGAGAGAGAGATGAAAATATAGTATAGAGAAACACAATAAGATATTGCATACCAATGCTTGACATACAATTATGCATAGTGTACTACATGTACAAGTACATTGTAGTGCTACTTTAATTTTGTACTTTATACTACTAGTACATACAATGTACAGTAATAAAATTCCATTGAAGAAATGGTCTGACGTTATTAAATACAGTATTATAAATAATTATTCTAAGTACACTGTAACAATACTATTGTTCTTCTAAATAATAAATTCTATTTGTTATGTTTTTTTTATTACTTTAATTCTTCCTGATGCCTTTAGTGCTGACAGTGCCACGGCTGATCCAGTCTCATCAGAATCATGAACCTCAAAAGTGTTGAACTCAATATCACTGCTAGCCAGTCTGGGATACTCGTCCAGTGATTGCTTGATTGATTTGAGATCACGCGAGTTAACGATCACAGTCACCTCTGATATTAAGAAAAAATATTAAAAACAACAATTATTATTATGAATAACAACGACATTAAGTTTATATATACTTTATTATTAATTAAATATTTAGTTTACACTTACATAATTATTAATACAGTGCACACGTGTACAATCTTTCAGACAATGTCAATGGGCTCACCTTTAAAATTATTTTTCTCCAGTAGTCTCAGCGGGTAATAGAGTAGTGGCTTGTTTCCTACTGGTAGCAATGCTTTAGGATACGCCTCGTTTAGTGGATATAGACCAGAGGCCTGTCCTCCAGCTAGCAAAACTGGATGAAGATCCATGATTTTTTTTTCAATTTTTTGTCAATTACAAGCCACTCCTATGCAATTCAACACCCACGCAAAATGATTCTTGGACCGGATGTATATATAAAATCTACTTCCGGTTTCATTTTACATCCGGTTTCAAATTGCGTGGGTGTTGGTTTTTGTGGTCTGGCTTCAGTGGCTTGTAAAATGGAGCCTACAGAAAGCCTCGTTGAAGGAATTGGGGACGAACTGCTGTGGACTTTTCTCTCCCTATTTGTAATCCTCCTCCTCAGTGTGTGGTACCTGTTCTGTACTGATAGTAGGAGAACAGAGAACGTCCATCCTGAACAAGTAATTAAATAATCATAAATAAATTATTAAGAATTTTTTGAGCAAATTTTGAAAAGATAGGATGAAAAGATGAAGTCTTTATTTGTTACTCAGGATCAATAATGTATAAGGGCAGATAGGGATAAGGTCTTATGTCATAGCATATAGAATTGAGGTATGAGAAATGAAACTCGGTTACAGTATTGTCGAAGTACCCTGTATACCCTTACAGCTTAACGTCATATTTATTTATAGAGAGGCTATAGGAACAGTGTAGATCTATATATAAGTCTATACTTAAATGCATGTATTTCATGTATTTTATAATGCTATTCAATTAATTGATTTAAAATGTTTTTGCTATTCAAAATCAATTCTTCATTCACTCGTCCCATTTTGTATTGATCCATAGGAAGAAGTAGTAGAGAGAGTAAGAGAGCAACTAAGAGACAACCAACAGCAACAAGAAGAAGAAGAAGCCAATGAAGACTATGATCCTGATAATGCTGAACTCCCTCAATGCCCAGTCTGCCTTGGACCAATAACCTACCTAGCAGAGACTAACTGTGGTCATAGGTTTTGTGCTCAGTGCATATTAATGTACTGGAGGACTGATAGGTGGCCTAGGGCCTGCAGGTGTCCTGTCTGTAGGAGAGAGGTTAATATCCTATTGACATTGCCTCAGTTGGAGACTAATGAGAGATATCGTGATCTAACAAATGAGATTAGGGATTATAATAGTCGTATGTCAGGAGAATGGAGACCAGTAAGAGAAAGCTATGTTTAAATTTTATTTTTACTTTTATTCTTTCTCCCTTTCCTTTTCTCTCTATCTTTCCCCCTACCTTTCCTGTTCTCTCTCTCTCCCTCTCTCTCTCTCTCCCCTCTCTCTCTCTCCCCTCTCTCTCTTCCTTCCCCTCTCTCTCTCTTATAGTTAATGAGTTACATATATGACATACCAACATTACTACGCTACCTGCTAAGAGACTTATTCTCAGTCCATGGTCTAATATGTATTCACAGGTTACATATTTTAGCAGTTCTAGTACTGTTGCTATTGTATTTGTTCATTCCTTTTGATCTGCTCCCAGAATCAGCTATTGGTCTCATTGGTTTGATTGATGATGGACTTGTACTACTAACTGTTATTATATATGTGACTTTATTGTATAGATCTTATGTTACTAACAGAGCTATCAATTAATATTTATTCAAAACTAAAAATAATAATTATTATATTTTTCAAACAATATTGCTACTGAAAAATGTAACCTCGATCAAAAAAATTTTTAAATTTATTAAAAGTACCATAATTCTGAAAATACTGCAGTATTGCCACAAATTATTTTCTTTTGCTTCTTGGCCAAGTACCATCTGAATTTCTTATTTCCAGTACTATCATCTACATAGTAATTATGATTTACAATTACCTATAATTAAATCAACTGACTTGTCCTCCATATATACCAGCATCTGTTACTGTTTGTTGAAGATTAGTTAATAATTCAAAACTGTTTGCCATGTAACGATACCACAGTCTACATTCAGTAGTATCAGGAATATTGAACTGTTCCTTTATCACTGTGAATACACGACCTATAATAGACACAGTGTATTCAAAGCATGTATATACTTATAACTTACTGATTGTATCTATTCGACTAAATGAACCTGTTTTAATATTATTAGTGTTAGGGTATACACATAATTTTAATTCAATCAAGTAAACTTCAACCTTCAAGTGCTTAACATATGATCCAAACTCTACTACATTTCTAACAATAAACAAATAAAACAATAACATCCAATAATAGTAAGTTAATACCTAATAATAGGTCTTGATCCTACTGATAGTCCATACCAACTCAGTAAAAGATTCCATGCAGGCTCAGACAGCATTGCATAGTCTAGTTCTTCCATTAGATGATCATTTAGTGTTTCAGATACAATATCTACAATGTATAATAATAGACTATATCAGAATAAACATCTTTATTTTTGTATATAGTGTAGTGGGTTGACTTAACAATTTTCATAGCTTGAGCCCATGCAATTTGTAGCTTTAATTTTTTTGGACAGCTGCTAAAATACAATAAACTATGCAAGTGTTAATTTTTATCTTTGTGTTTATGCCTAAAAACTACAATGAAAATAAATATAAAATGCCACAAAATAACCTACTAATGTACAGGTTAATTGTGTGATAAACTCTTTGTTTTTGTCAAAATGTCTATTAACAGTTTAATTTTTTGGACAAATACTGTGATTATGCAATCAACAAGTGCAAGTTCTGTAAAACAAGTGCATGCTAAATTTTGTAGATTTTTGAACCACAAAATTAACATAATTTAATACCCTGATATGTATGGTACAAGGTATATTGATACTGGTTACAAAGATATAAAATTAGTGTGTGAGATAGGATGATGTTAGTCACTAGAACATTTCCTAGCCTACAGCCATTTGGGTGGACTGTAGGCTGGAGGGGGAATGGTTAGCTAGCAAGACTAGGATGACGTACGCTGATGATGATAATATTGAAAAATATATCTACTATTAGTACATGTACCTTTAAACAAATTGTTGTTATCAATTGGTCCTGGATGAGCACCTGATTGCTGATCCCATGAATCAAATCCAGTGTATTTCTTCCACTGCTTGAACCATTTCATATCAACAAGACTCCTATTAATAATAATTGGTAATTATTAGTCACTGACATGTTTGTACTAACCATTTGTCTCCTTTCTTCAGACGTTTTGTCAAAAGAGGTTGGATCATTTGCTTTTGTACTTCATATGAAGGAATGTTAGCTAATGGTAGAGACTGCAAAGATGATGATAATGATGATGATGATACTTCATGTTTAGATGCATCTACACTTTCAAGTGCTTCACTTGATTCCATTGCATACTTGTCTTCATTCTCCATTTCTTCTAATGCTATGGACTCACATGCTTCATGTTTTGATACAGCTGTACTTTCAAATGCTTCGGTTGATTCCATTTTACTCGTCTTCATTTCTTCTACACATTCTTCATGCTTTGATACAACAGTGTTTTCAAGTGCTTCACTTGATTCCACTGTAAACTCCTTTATTACTTCTAATACTCTGGCCTCACAATCTTCTCGTGTCTTAGAAAGTTGCTGCTCATAATTTTTTGTTAGAGTCTGAAGCTTTGATTCATACTCTTGCTTTATTTCAGAGAGCATTACTGAATGTTTTTCTTTTAAATCAGCTTCTCTTTTCTTCAGTAGGTCCATGTTGCCTTCTTGTTGCTTAACTAGTTGTTCATCTCTGCTTCTAATCATTTCCTTTAGTACTTGAGTGGAATTGTTGAATTCCTTTTCTTTCAGCAAAAGAGCATTTTGTAGGCCTGTCACTTGTGATGACAGTTGCTCCTCAAGCTTGTCTTTCTCTACTTTCTCAGATTTGAGTATTTTATCTAATTCCCGGATATGTTTTTCTGCTGCTTCTTTCTCTTTCATTAACTGGATTGTGTTTTGCATTTTTGGATAATTCGATAGAACTTTTTCTACAAATTGATATGACTCAATCATTTCTGGTCTACCAGTAGAACTATCATTGAGGCAATCTTTTGCTAAAGGAAGTAGCTCATTCTCTTTTGGTATACTTTTAATGTAGTTTGATCTTCTATCCCATTCTGATACTCTTTTAAAGGACTGCTTCCTTCCTGGTTCAGGTACAAATTCTTTAGTAGGCTCAGGGAAT